CCAAATTTGGCTTATCAAAGGAATCAAGTGCTACATCATATAGAAGTCGCAATAATAAACATGCATATGCTAATGTCTTTGGTATAACATCTGGAAATACGGGTTCTAGTACACTTCCAGTAAACAGTGATGATAACATGTTATGGTAATTCGTAGTTGGTATTATATCTATTTCAGTAAGTTTCGTCTGCGTTGAGAAACACCCAAGAAGTCGTAAAGTGTCACACAAACTTGATTGACAAATCTGTAGGATGAATATTATATAGATGCATTATATTATTTAAAATCTAATATTTACGTCTAAATATTTACTTCATGATGGAAAAATTTTGCATTTGCTGGTTCAAATCTCATAGCTGTACTTATGGTGTGAAATACAACGTGTAAAAGAGTTAGTAACTGTACTTCTTCCTGTGGTGTTCTTTTTATTATATCGTTACAAGGTTCTGTATTCTCTGATCTCTGTGTACCTAATTGAGATTCCAAGGATACTAAAACGGACATCACATATACGAAGCCTCCTACTTTTCGAAAAACAGTCCTAGTTCGATGAGATTCTCTCAAACAAGCCAATAAAGACTAAAAAATTATATTATATTTTATAATAATGCTTAAGAACTTGAAGATTGATATTAATATCAATAAACTAACTTTCAATATATGTGTCTTTAAGATTAAGGCATTAGAAGGTGCTGAATGCATAACACCTAGTAATGTAGCCATGTCATCATCTCCTCCTGCACTAAGAATTAATTCTCTAACAATACCAAGTGCAGGATATCGACAGTCTAAGTAGGGCACAAGATTATGAGCACACCGTGCTCCACTGCATTCCCTAAAGACATTAGCATTTTGGACATTGCCTGCCAATAACGTCGTCAAGGCTTCCATTACTAAGGCACCCAATCGTTCATCTTCTTGACAGATTTTATACTCTGGAAAAATAGTGTTTATTTGTTCATTTGTTATGCATATATATATATAAATAAAGTACGAAAATACTACCTAATCCTTGATCATGTGCAGCTTGTTTATCTTTGAGTAAAGTTGCATATCGATGAAGACATGTAACAAAAACTTCTAACATACCCACTTCTCTATATACATCTTTAAATATATTATTATGTCTGGAAAGATACATTTTTCAAAATCACTAATAGTATAATAGTATATAACCTAAACATAATTAAACAAATGCTTATTACCTGAGTATACTAAGAAGTGTTCCCATGCATAAGATACTGCAACTGGTTGAATTATTTGTTTTAAGTAGTATAGATAAGGATATGAGTTCCTTACAAGGCACAAAATTAAGTTGAAATACTATAAATTCTAATAGCTGAAAAAATTTTTCTTGAATTTCTTGATTTTTTAAGTGAATTTTTTCTGCAAATTGAGATAACGTATTTTGTCCTTCAAGTATAAAATAATTGGCATTGTCACTATGATATACACTAGATATTGCATCAAGAATCGTACAACACAAAAGTGGTGAATTAGACTTTACAAATACAGATTGTAATACTTGGAATGCTTGAATATTTCGAACACTTCCACCTATAAAAATAATATTTAGGCATAGTTTATTTAAAAGAGTATATGTTTTAACATAATTTATACTCTTAATATGCTCTTACTTGATATGCTCTATTTGATATACTCACTTTACTATGCTCTTTTAAATAATATTAAGGTAATTTAAAAGTATATGTTAAATTATTTGTACCTCTATTACTTGGTTGAGGTAAAGTAAAACCAAGCATTTGAAATAATGATCCCATACTAGCTTGACTTGGTTTTAATTCTGTATGACCACACATTGTTAAAGATGCTAACATAAGCACTAAATTCCGAATAGCATCTTGTGCCTCTGCTCTACTATCTTGTTCTAGTCTTGATGGAGCATGTCTACAAATCATAAATATTTGTAATATTTGTAAAATTGATAATTCGTAAAATTTATAAATTAAAAATTACAGTGACTAATATTATTGAAGTTAGATCATTCTTACTTTAATAAAAACTCTGATAAAAAGATATATCCTTGACAAGCACGAAAATCGTCCAGAAGTGTTTGAGATACTTCACTAGAATCTTTCAAAAAACAAAATACTGTAACAAACATTTCTACCACTTCCAATGGTGCTAGCTCAGGTACACGTTGCATATTATCAACACATAATGCTATACATCCTTTATCTACAATTAAAAACAATATGTTAAATTGTATAAAATAAATATGAAAAATGTATTAGATTTGTGATTAAGCAGGATAAGTTTAAAATTATACTTACTATGAATGTAGCTTACTACATTTTGGGTAAGTCCATGTCGAGACAATGTCATTAATACTTCTGCCGCACTTTTGCGCCACATCACATTATAGTGAGGACACCAGCTAGTTATTGCTGAGAATAATAAAGTTAGATCATCCTTGCGAGCAAGTTCTTCTGCTGGATATGGATGACTACATAATCTCACCAATAACTGTAAATTAGTATTAGATTACTTATCCAAATGAAAATTTCTTGAAGATACTAAAATGTATGAAAAATTTTTACTTGAACAAATATCTTTTGTAACAATATTCGACGCTGTTTCGGAGTAAATTCGCTATTTGTATCCGTAATATCAGCTTCATCATCAATCATTTCAGGTAAATCAAAAAACAGATACAAACATTTTACCAATGTTGATGGAACAGAAGCAGTAGTCATTGCCTGATAAAAATAAATATTTCAATATGCTCAAACTATATAACTGAAATAATTAAAATAATAAACTGTAACTAAAGTGTATACCTGTATTACAGAGGTATCACCTGCTGCAAGTAAATTTAATGCAGACAATAACATCCAACCATTACTCGATTCTTCACTATTTTCAATTTCTAAAAATTTGACAATGGCACAGCTTGCAGTTTCAGTACTCTGATTGCTTGCTCTTCTACTAATTTCAAATACCATTAATTTAGATACTTGTTGTGTAAATGCCAAAATGTCCCAAAACTTTTCACTCATATCTCCTGTTGGACTAGATCCAAATACCTAAATATTAATACAAGTTAATAATTTAGTTAAAAAAAAGAAATTGGTTGAACTTTTATTCATTTAATATATATGTAACAAACATTAAAGTGGCAAATACTTACTTTGCAAAATAATGGCAACATATTGTATAATTTATCATTACGTTCAGCATCTAAAAGGGGGTGTGGAGGATGGGTATATTCAGAAAAAAGCTTTTTAAGGTGCATAAGACCTAAAGCAGTATGTTGAGGGTTTGTACTTCCAGTACAATCATCTAAACCACCAGTACTGCTAGAACCCATACCTCCGACACTGGTACCCCCTCGTAGTTTACGCATTATGTTCATACTTAATATTTGCTGAAAGCACACAAATTAATATATATAAATATTGAAATATAAAATTTTTATGTTAAATTAAACAAAAAATATGAAATTAACATATTTTTAACTTACATCATTCATACTATGTTGAATATTAAACATATTAATATCTTTATATATATTATACATTTCATAAAATATCTATATTTTTAATACACTGATAACATATGAAACACATAGTGGGAAAATATAAATAATATTACAAAGATTTATGTAAGTAGATTCTTTCAATATTATAAATATAAGATATACATAAAATGACAGATATTTAATATAAATAACTATTGAATTTATTGTAGAAAATGCTACTTCAAAACAATTTGTAATTAGCTGTGACATTATAAAGTAAATATATGTATACTTATATATGCATAATATCTGTAAAGTACAAAATTGTAATTTATTAATTTCCATAGTATTAATAACAGCAATTACACAAATTTTTGTGCAAAAACAAATTTTTTCTAATTATTACTATCTCACTATTATAAATAAATTAATTAATTATAGAGAAGTATACCAAAAAAAATTCCGGAAAAAGAAAACATAAATAGATGTAGATATAGTAGTAATATTAAAAATTATAAAATGTTCAGTCTTATATTGCTCTATGATATAAAAAACAGATATTGTCTGAAAGTAATAAATGAATCTTTCAAGACAGAGATTTAAAATGTATAAGAATTAATATACGGTAGCACGATTTGTTTAAGCACTTATTATGCTATTATTTGAAACGTTAACATATCGGAGAACATATAACATGTGAAAATGGCACATTGTTGTGTAAGACAAGTCGAAATATTATTTTTTGGTCCATTATACGCATTAATCAATTTTTCGTACACATGTCATAATAATTTCTATATTTTCAATCGGTGACACTACTCTTCATCGAACACTCTGTTCAATATTTACGTCTATCTCCTGTCAAAATGTCAAGTTAGAGTAAAGTTACAATGACTTTTCGTAACCGCCCACGATTCTTACAAATAAGACTCGAATACCGTTGTGCGAACATGCACCGTATTCGCTAATAATAAATTAATTATTACCTGCAACGCGTCACAAGCCGAAAAATCCTACATTTTCTTTTGGAAAAGTGCTCTTTCAGTGAGAGTATTTAATATTTCAGTGGCAGCAGCCATCTTCATATTCGACGATTTCTTCGGTCCACAGCCAACACGATACGTCGATAAGTATCACGTGACTGTTAATAATCACAGATCTGTTCATTTTTTGAATCTGTATTAGTTCTTAGTATTTATTATATATAATAGAAAATTATCTCATTTTGCATATTACTTTATTGTAGTAAAAAACTTTGAAATTATAAAAAATGTATAAAAAAAAAAGGAATTAAATATGATCTTATACATACGTTCATACCTAAAGCTACATTAATTACTAATGTATATAGTAATATAGAAATATATATCTTAGTAATAAAGCACATTTGCAAAATTAATTACTTTTTTTATTTATTCTTATATTATTACATTATATACAAAGTACGTATATTCAGAAAGTCTTGTCTCAAAATGTAATTTAATAAAAGAACTTTTTATTTTTAAATACTTAAACATTTTTAACTTGTTCGTTGAAAGAAGTCTGAAATTTTTTTTTGTCCAACTTTTTTAGTTGGTGAATCATGTTTCTTTGGAATTATAGAATTTCCACTTGAAGTTTGGATTGATTCATATGTATTCTGTAAATTTATAGGAATCGTCGCTGATTGACAATTTTCATCTTTGGTCGATTCACTACAACCATTATTCGAGTATTGTGAAAAAAGCTCCTGCTTTGTATCTAATAATTCCAAACCAGATAATCGATGTTCTTGAGTTGTTTTAGTTTGCGACGTATCTTCTAAAACTTTCCATAAAGATTGTTTCCTTTTTTTCTCTATACTATCATTATCGTGAATTTGTCCATCTTTTTTCTTTATATTATCTTTGCTCTGAATTTGTTCTTTTTCCACAATTCTTTTAACATCTATATATTCTTCTTTTAGAATCTCTGTTTTCCTTTTACTTACAGCATCTTCATCAATATTAGCTAACCAACCTTGTATTTTTTCTTCTTCTGTTTCTGGATATTTCTTGATATCCAAATGAAAAGATCTTTTCTCTCCATTATTAACACTTTTACTTTTTCTAAAAACAACTTCCTTCGTTATAGAAATTTTCGTATGGATATTTTTATTTAAATGTTGAGTAATTGGTTTTACTTTACTTCGATTATATAAAAAACGATAAAAATCTAACTTCCCTGTTGGTGCAAATTCTTGATACTGCACTAACAATGAAAAAATATAAGCTAAAAGAAATATAATCTAATAAATTTTTCTACATCTTTTAAATATGTAAAAGATACTTCAATATGCCTATACCTATATTTATTTCATGTTTTACAAAGTGCATGTACATTTCAGCAATATCATCTCGTAAATGTGCATCCCCAAATGTGAAATAGACCATTGATCGACCTGCTACAGCAGCAGCCATTAATTGTAATAAAACTTTCAATTTTGGATTTCCACGAAATGCACCACATCCCCAGTTTCCAGTTGCAATAGCTGGAAGATTACTTTTACTACCTTCACAACCGACGAATCCTACATATGCCTATAAAATATAAAAGTGCTAAATATCACACAATTAATTACCCTATATGTAAATCATAATTAATTTTAAACCTTATTAAGTTCTCTTGTTATATTACTTATACTGAATTGCGATTGTGGATGCGTAAAATAAAGGGCATCGATCGCAACAATAGATGTCAATCGTCTTCCACTACTGTCTTTAGGAGTTTCATCAACATAATCTCCCATCCATTTAAAACTATTACTGTATCCTTTGTATTTACTATATCTTTCAACACCACTGACAATTAATGCTTCAGTATCATCTAATTCTTCCGTAACAAGCATTGTTACCATTAGTTCAGGACATATTACAAATCTTATTTCTTCTTGCACACATCCCAGTCCAAGAACACCACCACCCACATATCTACAAAGATATCAAATTTTTATAACAATAAATAACAACATGCTTTGACACTAATTATAAAAGTATAAGCTACTTGTTAGCAAAATCCACTTGCAAAAACCCAGTGCCTTCTGTTTCTATAGTTCCTTTACTTGTAATATGTAGAGGTAATAGCTTTTGTACTTGTTCATCCCATTTTGGACAATCAGTCTTAGGGATATAACGCCGTTGAATTGTTACTACACCCTCTGGGGCTGCTCTATGGAAAAATTATAATAAATAATGTATTAATCCTCTAGTTATGTTTCATTAAATAAACTTTAACGTACCCACCTTTAGCTGTTACTCTCCGAAAATAATGAAATATACATTTCATTTTTTCCATTACTGACTCACACTTAATCAACTTTCCCTCCTTATATGCTGAAAATAACCTATGTAAATGTACACATTAATGTATTAAATGTAATAACTATTTATATTATTATTGTTGTTGTTGTTGTTATTGTTGTTTATAAAATTGTAGCTAATGATTATATTCGACTTTATTTTAATCTATGAATGCAAAATAAAATACCTATTGAAATTGATGTAAGGATATCTTCCATATTCTGACTGTGGATTAGTTGAGTTACGTCTTGGAAATGTACAGAAAAATGCATTAGCTAGTAAAGATGCTATCTGTAATTGGCTAAGACTAATTGTGCCATTAGTGTGACGTTTTAAAAGAGGTACTGAACCAGTTACCAAAACAGGAAGTTGCAAAGCAAGTTGAACCATTTTGGGCATCAACACTTCAAAGAAAATATTTGCTTCCTCTTCATCCAGTACCTTTAATATGAAATTATTTTATAAAAAATATTCAAAAGATACAAATTGAGAAAGTTATATAAAATTCAAGATGTTACCTCAAAAAAAAAATGATGTAATGCAGTAAAATCCCAACGTTGTGCATATATGTGATTATAAGAAAGTATTGCATTTTCTAGCTGAATGGTAGAAACAAAATTTTGAAGTAATGATTTCTGTATTATTTCCCATCTGTTTCGACAACGCCTAGATCCATTCTATAATAAAATATGAAATCAATTACTATATTATTCATAAAAATAGGAATAAAAATAACATTAAATTTCACATATTATGTTATTATTCACTTGCCTCGTCTATTGGATACACACTATGTTTTGAATGTGGCATCCTAACATAATCCTGACACCATTTTTCTATTTGATGTGTAGGATATGGTTTTGGTATTCCACGTGCAGGTAATGGTAACTATTTAAAATAATTCTCAACTTAAAATCCATTAATATCACTGAAAAATATTTCTTCACCTTATTTCTCACCGATATTAAAACTATATGAGATGAAGAGGGACAAATAGGTGGTAACTCCTGGCAATCATATACACCTAAGCCTTTACGTATTTCATCCATGCTTACACCTTTCCATTCAGGAACATCATCCAAAGGTTCTGGTTCATTAACATCAACGGACATTGAGCTTGCTTTATGAAATGAAATACAAATGAATGATTAATTTAAAGAAAAATATACAGAGCTATATATACATAATACATATGTAGTATACACGCAGTTTTAATTTTCCCGAACATTGAATCTTCAAGATTAAATGTTTAATTAATATCTTACAATCATCAGAATTTACAGGGTTATTTGTCACGTTATCTACATCGTTGAAGATATCTGGGGAGAGCGTTTCCTCGTCAAACGACAATCCAGGGTCCGACATAATTCTTCAACTGAGAGAATTATAAATAAAATATAATGGTGAAAAATAACAATAAATAATATAATGAAATGAAATGAAATAAAGTTCTTACGTACAAAAATAAAATAACGATGTTCAAAAACTACATAACGCGTTTCAAAAATAAAATAATCTTGTAGTAACAATAAACTATCACAATACAGACAAATTATTCAAAAATTCTTTAAAATTTTGTTTTAAACACGTACAATCACTAAAAACGAAATTACGCGTATATTGCTTTGGCGCCACAATTCTTTGTGATGATAAACGTATTGCGGGAAAATTAGACATAACGGTACACAAAAAGAAAGTTGCATTTAATAATATTAAGTATTGTTTCTATAAATTATATTAAAAGTTACATTTGCACTTTTTATCTGAATATTCTTTACACCTCTATAAAATAGTACGTAACATTTTGTAAGTACTGAAATTGCACGGAACATAAAATATACTATGAATATAGTCTATTCAAATGAATCATTCCATTTGGGGGAAATTTAATAAGAAAAAACAACTGTTTAAAATATGTCCTAAATAAACAATTAATATATTTGTTTATTTAAAACATAAAATATAAATTGTTCATCTGTATTACTTGTACCGTGCATTGAATATATATGCGTAGGGAAGTATTAAAGTAAGTCATAGGAACTAACCGAGTAGTTTGTTTTGCATATGTACATACAAATTTTCATAAAAATAAATATATTTTTTAAATTTCTGTATTAAGATATAAATGAAAAAATATAAATAAATGCAATGTTTAAATTTATCAATGCATATTAGTATTATACTGCTGATAAAATTAAAAAAGCTTTATCGATCGTAGAAAATTCCATTATTATCGAACCAGCTATCTTTTTTAGTAATTCTTGGTCATGTCAAATGTTAGAATATTTTTGTTTCCCATGATAATCTGTATGCAGTATACAAATAAGAAAATATAGAATTAAAAATCTGCAAAAGATAAAAAATATGTAATTTCTCATTTTTTGACTATACAGTTTTACATATTTCAGATCTTTAATCTATTATTTCAAATATAATTTATTTTTTAAAACTTTAATAAAATAAACTCAGAATTTTTTTCATATTGCAAACTAATTTTAAATTTATTTTATGAAAATTTATTTTTTATTTCTGGAAACTAATTTTTTTCAAAATAAAAATTCAAATTTTATAATTATATATCGCATGTTAAATAAGGTATTAATAAAAATAATAGAATTACTGTGTTATATACTGTTACTATTTCAATCATTTTTGTTAAATAATTATACATTCGATACACACTGTTAGCATCTTTTTCTTTTTCAAAATAATTTCTGATACATATGTCAAATTTAAAAATAGCATAAATCGACACCAGAAAGGCAATATACGATATAGGTACTTAAAAAAAGCTTATGTTATTTCATACTACGATAAGAAAACGATAGTTATGCGTATACGTTTGACCTACCATGACGGATTTCATTGATCCATTAAAATCATTCTGTTTATCATGGTGTAGAAGAATGTTTTATTTGCATGCATGATAAATTAATAAATCTACGACTTAAGTAAAGTAATATGCGAAGATGATTCGTTGACTAAGTACCTATAAACTGAACGGCACAATACAAATGTAATCCGATAGTCCACCTAATTTTCCCCAGAAAACCCTTTTAGATTTTTAACGATTACACTTTATAATCGTTATATCTTCATATACATAACACTTGAAATTGAGGCTAAGGGTATCTTATTTTGTTAAAAAGATGTTATACATATATTTCATAAAATTGATAAGAGAAATATGAATATTGAGTCCTATGAATATTAAGAGAATAAATAAATAATTTTATTTTTGTGAAAATCGTTGAGAAAATTTAATGTTAATTTAATTTTGAGGGTTGAATATCATATACATATTTGTTTCTGTCAAATAACGTACGGGTTCTCACGACAAGTCAAAAATGTATGATTCTTTATTTGAAAACTTTGATGCCCGCGCATTTATATTTTATTAAATGCAAAAATATGTTTTTTTCTTTAAGATACCTTCTTGCCAATAAACGAAACAATAATTAATTACGCCAATGCAACTCTCTAATGCGCTATCTTACTTTGCCTTGATATATTTCTTTCGCGTTCTTTGTTATATGATACTCTTGTAAATGTGATCAACTTAGCCAATAATAATAATACGTGTGAATAGAGGCGTCACTATTGCTCTACAGCCAATCAGACAGTCTATCCAACAAGTTATCTTTGCACAGTATATAGCACAATGTGGTAGGTAAGTTACAATCATAGAATTATTACTGATGTGAGCAGGTGTTACTTTAGAACATTTAAAATATTGAAAAAGTCGAACTATAAAAGTATTGAAACATACTAATTATGAAGATTACATTAAAGTATTAATTTTGTAATAAATTAAAAAGACCTAAAATATACATAAAAGTTAGATCAATTATTTTGTTTCTTAAAAACTGCATATTATAATAGTTTACTTCTTGTTGAGATTAATATTAATAAAATAGCAAATTGTCTTGCAAAATTTATTCCATTAAGTGAATTCAAGTTGAAATTACACTAAAATTATATTTAACATTGAATTTTCTGAAAAAAGTAATTATGTATAGAATTATGATTTATATTGCTTGTTAATTAAATTTAAATGAATAGAATTTTAATCTCAAATTTAATAACTTACACCTTGCACGTAATAATGAAAAAATAAATGCTTATTTTTATTAACGGTCTATTTACCGATTGTATTCATTATTTGTTATCCAAATGGGTATTCAGTCCTGTTTACGCATCAGTTCGATAGTTAATAAAAAGCCAACAAGTGTGTCGCAAATAATAAAAAAAATAGAAGGAAGACAGATTATAAAGAGGAGTTTGATATTGGCGCCCGGCCTGCGCTCAGCTAAAATCAATGAGTCTACCCGGCGAATGTTCAGTGCGACTCCACCAACGTTGCGTCGAAGCTGTCTTTCATCTTTCCTGACTTCAACATTTCCTTTCTTTTTCTTCGAAATTTTTGTTATCGCGTTTCGAGAATCATGTAAGATTAGAGATCGATATGCCGAGTCAAGAAGATATGGACCTTTGTACCGATAAGGTACTGTCCAAAGGAAGAATTCTTCAGGAATTAACCAAAGCTGTCAAATTGGTGAGTGCTGTCTGCTTCAACATAGGGACGACGTATCAAGGCCATACGTTGTCTATATACATACATATGCGCTTTCCTAATGCGAATTTTGATATATATACCAAACTAACGACCTTTTCTTACTTTCCTGTGAAACTCTTCTTAAATGACTTAGACAGATTTTCATTCCTTTTTCCTCGCAGATAAAATCGACTTTCTTGAAATACTTAACCATGACGAAACAGCTGAAACTGAAGTGGCATGCACTTACACGCTCGGTTGTGCGTTAAACATTTAACAGTTAAATGCGTTTTATTATCTTTATTGTTTTTGAACGCGAACCTGTGTTGAAGAAGTACATGTGCTCCTCTCATCACCACGATTTCCCGTTTCTCACTTGCAACTTACTCAACGTCTTGTTCCACGTCGTGGCTCCTCCACTGACGTACGTGCCTTTACCTCTTTGTTCGTATAATTATCAGTCAAGTATATTATTTTATACTGTTCTGTGAGATCCTCGGGGATCAATGAGTCTTTTATTGTAAAATTGCTTTCAGTATCTTAATTTTGACTACCTGTTATTATTGATGTCGTAATTATTTAATATTTATTATTTCGTTTAATATTTATGGCAGAAGTCAGTAAACAAATATAAACTTGTTACATTACTATATGGAAGATACTTATTAAGATACCTAGACAATTTTTTTAACTAAATATACAATTTTAATCCCAAAATTAATTTTCTATACATTGACAGAAAATTAGATTGAAGTATGAGTATAAAAAATTTAATTAAATTTGTATATTAAAATTATTAATATTAAAAATTAAAAATTTATATTATATCATAAAATAAATAAGACACTTTTATTTATATTTATTAGGTTTACGCTCAAAGTTTATATGGTACAGTAGTCTTAGATGGGGATTCTTGGTTGGTCTACTGGTTAGATCGAGCTTTACGTCATGGACTACGTGTAGAGAGACGTGGTTATTGGGGCACCGCTCGTGAACTTAGCCATCAGGATACTGTTGTTGTAATTCATGCTCTCCAAAGTGTATTAACTTCTATTGGAAAAGGTATATGTGAATTTGACATAAATTTTATTACCTATGGAAGCAAATTATAATATACCTTTATATTTTTTAGGCAGAGCATGGCTTTATCATACTCTTAGCGAAGGCAGCTTCGAAAGCTATTTAGCTTGCTTATTACGAGATACAAAAACATTAAAGAAACAATACTTTCCACATGCACTTGTTCGGGATGCAGATAAAACTAACCAATTAGTTAATCTCCTTGCTGGCTTAGAAAATGTGTCTTTCACATTGCAATTGGTATGTAGAATTATACTATGAAACTTTTATAAAATTTTAATAATATTTTAATAATATGATTATATAATGTATTTATACTTTCCACATTCTTTCATATTGTGCAGACATGATCAAATTTAATGATGATATTAATGTACAGTTGTCAGCATTTTACATGAATATGTTTTGTAATTTTTATTTTATACTCTCTATGTTGATATCAATATCACCCCATGGTTACAATTATCTCAACAATAAATTACTACTGTCACTTAGGAAGAATTGTATGTTAAGAAGAATCTGTTTTTATGAATTTAAAGGGCAATAAGTTATCATACATATAAATCTATTTTTTATACATTATATGTCCCTTCTCTTGCTTGTTCATGGAAAATCCTTTACAAACAATTTGTAATCATATTAAACCCATTTTTATCAGAAGTTCCTAATGTGCAATTTTTATGGTCTACTTTTTTGTTTCATTGAAAGAATATGCATTAATAAGAATTTTATCAAACTACTTAAAAAATAAAAGAATAGTTTTATGCTAAAGTGATAAATTTTAATTACTTATCATTCAGGATGTCACGTATTTGGATATTTGCAATTATATGCCTCAAAGGCCTATGAGTGTAAACCCTTCTGGGACTATATTATCATTACATCTCAGATCATCTAGTGTCTCTTCAAGTTTGGCTTCTCCTGGTGACAGTGGAGTTGCTTTTGACAGTGATATGGATCTCGCTAATGAAACAGATGCTAGTAGTTATAAGGAGGTATACTTTTAATAAAATATATATTTAAAACATTTCATTTTTTTTTTTTTTTTATGTATATAAATTATGTTTTTGTTGATGATTTCAGGAAGATTTCCATTTGGAAGAAACTCCAAGGTACCGAAATAATAGGTACAAAGCAATGATGAATAATTGTATAGAAGACAATAAAAATTTTAGTTCCAGTGATTCCAGTGAGGATGGAAAAACTCCTACACAATCACCTGGAATGGTGACTAAATTTCAGACCGCAATGATGACGAAAAGCGATATAGCGAATCAAAACTTAACTAGGAAACTCGATGATAATGAGCTCAACTGTTCTAGTTTGGATACCTTAAAAGATTATGATTTTTACAGTAAAAGTCTAGACGAGTCAAAGTTAGATAAAATAAATAATAAAAATGATAATGGAGTTAAAGAATTAAATAAAAGAACTACATATTATAGTGATGGTAGTTACAGTTTTAAAAGGAATATTGACCCTCGAAATTCATATGTAATTAACAATGATACAAATCTTTTGGAGCTTAGTATGACCATTTCAGATTGTGAAAATATAGAACCACCATATGGTATCTTGAATACTATTAATATGACCGACACTAGTATTTTATCTTCCTCTAGTTCAGAAGCTATAGTGCAACGTAGGCAACGTAAAAAAAAACGTGGGGAAAGTAAAAAGCGCGTCAGTTTTCATGAAGATATCTTAAAAACTATGAAACTGGATGATGATGAAAGTTATGCTGACTTTTCCATGAGTTTCTTAACACCGAATTCTGTTCAGAGAAAGGATACACAAAAAGGGAGATATAGTTGGTGTGCTCATGGAGATTCTCCTTATGTTCAAAAAAACATTAATTCCAGAAATATACACTCGGATTATTACTCTTACTCTTCATCATCGAGTGTATTTGATAGCGATTGTGAAAAGAAAGGATCCTTAAAGACTTGTGAACAATTTCCGTGTCAGAACAATTGCAAGTGTGCTTGTGGATTGTCACTTTCGGAACGAGGTGCGCCAGAGGGTCAAGAAGATCCTGGAAAAGCACTTAGACCAAAAATGGAGATTGAATTAGAAGAAAATGAAGCGCAAGAAGCTTATATTGTTGAAAAAGAATACGGAAATATTATAGAAGACCCTCCCACTAAAGATCAGATGCCTTGTCCATCTAACTCAAAAAAAGATATGAATTCTAGCGATTGGTCAGATGTAGATAGTACTACTATGTCAGATACTGACGAACGTAGAAATAGTAGACATTTAGCTTTGCCATCAAAAAAACGTAATATGACATCAATATTAACAGGAGAAAATAGCAATAAATTATTAGCATCGTCTTTAAGACAAACTCCGTCTAAAACATCGTTATTGAGTAGATTTTTGAAATCTATTACAGAAAGAAAATTTGAAGTTAAAAGAAGTAAAAAGTCTCAAAAAACAAATCCTTTATATATAAAAGGTGTCAAAACGAGCTATGATTCTTTTAGAGAATTCAATGACGATCTTGAACGAGAAATACAAGAGAATGTGGCAGCAGAAAAACAAGAATTTAGTGGAGAAAAAGTTAGTTTAAAGTTGCGAGAACTTTTTAAAAAACATATTTATAGAGATAAAACAGAAGAATTGTATAAAGTATACAAAGTTAGAAGTTCATACATGACAAATGGGGAAAGTAAACCAATGATTGCTTTGCTAACTGATAAAACATTATATCTAACTAGTTCGAAAATGGACCATACTTATAGTAATCAATTCGTTATTCCTTATAACGAATTAGATGTTATTATGGTAAATTTTGGTAAAACAATATTACTCTTCTGAAATTTAAATACTAAAATAGAATATTTTCTAGGTTGGACCAAATGCACAAACAATACTATTATCCAATGCAGATTATGAGATGCAATATTTATTTTCTACGGGAAGTTCTCAAACTACTTCAGAGTTAATTTCCCATTTGGAGATGGCTATAAGAAGATCTCCGATAAAACCAAGACTTCCGGCGGTTAAAGTGTTAAGCTACGAAGATATGCATATTTTAAGGCATTCAGTTCTTTATGATACCGCAGTTCATTCTGTACGTAAATGTTTTTATTTTGAAAAAATAATAGAAACTTATTTATTATTACCTCCCTTTTTTTCTTTTTATCAAAATCCAATTACATATTTCAGGATGAAAAAATCGAACACTATAATCTTATTTATATGGAAGATGAATATATGTCACCACCTAGCACGCCATGTGGTCCTATGAAAGAAGGAGATCTTATGTATAGACCACATACATACCAACATTTTAATACTCATTCTAATACTCCAACTAACCCTTGGGAGGCTGGATATTTTGTTCTTAAAGGTGGAGTTGTTTATATGTTTACGGATGCCAGTCAGCGATTGCCGAAAAGAGCTATCCCATTGAAAGGTGATCTTTGTCAAGGTTGTCGTAGAATTCCCAATTCTCATCGTCCTCACACATTTGAAATACTTTTAAAACCGAATAAAGCGTTTCAATTCGCCGCACCAGACGAATATGTTGCATTTGAATGGTTACAAAGTTTCGTTCAAAGCGCTTCTGGATTGTACGATATTTCAGAAAAGAAAGGGCCTTTACCATGTAGTCTTATTACAACTACTAAGCATTTGGTAGTTATGAAAGAAGTATTTCCTGGTAAACAACGTGGACAAACACTTTCTTGTGCTTCTGTAGAAGACCTCACAGCTTTCAGAGTACCATTAACTCAACAATCTTGGTGTATACTGGTATATAAATGGAATTATGTATATCAAAACAATTTTACAGTTCTATTTTATCATAAAATACTTCCAGGAGTTCGCATGTCGAGAAGTACACGAAGGTAGCGGTGATTGGGTTATTTACTTCACAAATTATACAGAACTATGTACCTTTAGAGAAATTTTAGAAACATTGTGGGCTGATGCAAGTTTGGTATGAGTCTTCTTTTATTTCTGACTAGTGTAATATAAAAATAGAAATTATTTCTTATTTATCGTTATGTAATGTAAAATAATTTTTTACAGGGTGAATTTCCTATGGTAACACTTCCGCCGGAAGATAAGCTTCATCGACGTTGCTCAGATACCAGTAAAGATTTAGAACTTGCATGGCGATATTTATTACCTTCAGTAATCGATTAAGTAATAATGTGTACCTATAAACAATAGCTATCACATCATCATATTCAGTAATAGAAATTAATGAGACAAATATTCGATAAATCAATTCATACAACACAGATATTACAGTTATCTGATAAAATTGAGTATGACATTATAAACAAATACTCAAATTCAGCACCTCATGTTCCTTGATACCAGTGAGCAGTGGTGAATACAAAGGATTATATAAATGTAAGACATAAATATTTAGTGATACATAATATTGATGTGCTAATTCAGTAAAATGGTGCAATATCTTTTTAATAGTGTAAACTACTGGTAATGTCTGTTATTGATAATGGTATACAGGATTGTAATATAATGATGAATGCATAAAATTATGGTATCAGTTACATGAATGTCTATATATTCACACTTATTATAAGAATTAATATGCATTTGAAAGTGCACTATAAATACCAAATGATACAATTTTAAAAATAATGCTAATAAAATGACAGTAAGGCTTAGAGCAGCTTCCATTATGGGAAAACATTCTATAAATTGCTTTTAAAGTAAGTGTATGATGTATAATTAATATTCCTATTAATAATACTGATAATGATAATTAATTAAATAATAATAATAATTAAATAACACTGTTTTTTAATTTTATTTTTGATATTTTGATATAATGTATGTATATGTTTTACTGCTTTAAAATTACTGTTTTGGTTAGCATTCCAATTATTATATACTTATCGTAAAGATTTAAAAATCAATCATTGGATATAATAGTCATATCAGTCTTAAGGTGCTTTTATTTAATAACTAGTTATTTTAAATTGGCGATTGTATGCTTAATTTCTTAACATAGTGTTACATTCTACGGGATTGTTAATCCTAAATATCGGGAGAAATTACAAAGGGATAGGTTTTTCAAATATCAACGATGCCTTTTAAGGTAGGAGAAACAGTTTCATATACCAAAGAAGTTTCTCCTAAAAATTAATACGTTATTTTTGAATGAACAATTTCATACATGTTTATTTTAAGACCATGTACCCTTTTGTTACCAAAAACTACGTGATTCGATGTAGTCTGTAAATCATTGTTAATAAAATTGTAATCCTATATACATCGATTCATGTAGTCACATACAATTGTGATAAAACATTAAATTAAAGAGACTTACTACTATACGCAATCGTAACATAAAATTTGCGTACATTACATGACAAAAAATCGGAAACATAATCAACCCGTATTAGGTTTTAGTATGTCTAAGGGAAAGAATATTATAAATTTTACATGCTTTAATTAAGCATGTTTCTTAAATGTTACAGCCATGGAATTCTTGCACAATGTCAACGCCACTATACATGATCTTCAAAAATATAAACAAAAAACAAATACAAATAAAGTTGTAACTAGTTAACAAGATAAAAATAAAGATATGTTTCGTTTTTTCTTGTAATACGATGTAATGACGAATTTGAATTATATCTTGAATCAGTATAGTAATATCTTGTATCTTTTATTTCGATTTTATTGTGATAAATTATTCTATACAATCATAGTATGTTTATAACTTGTGTTCATTTTAAATAAACAGACATTTACTGCTTACTTTTTCGAAAATATTTACGGCGTGTAGATATTAAAGTAAATATAATAAAGTCTGAATTGAACTAAATTTCGTAATTTAATATCGTCTAACTTAAAATACTTTCAATAATTTTGTAATATATTTAAAAATTTGAAAATAGAAAATATCATACAATTTAGTCGCGTACAAAATGTCCTTCGGCCTTTCTTCGTTTCTTTATTTTCTCTATATCTGCCAATGGATATTGTTCTTTTACAGCATCCATATCAAGATTGGGGAAAGTTCGTACCAAAGTTGTTACTTTACCAGTTTGACGACTAAAATATAAAAAATTTTGTTAACATCTTATATAAAAAACGAGCTATGATTACTTTACAGAATATTTCAAATACAAACTTTCGTAGTTTTCGTTTTTCATTCCAAAGTTTTTCTCTATACAATCGCAAAAATTTTTGCACTGCATATCCCTGATAACCAAACTTGTGTTTTTTACTCCATTTAGTATTCATAAACTTTGGTACAGAGTATTGGCGCATTCGATAAATAAAATGTAGTCCTGCAAAATAAAATTTAAGTGTAATCTATTTATGATACAACACTGTATACTTTATAAGATATATAAGACATTTTACCAAGAGGATTAAATTTGTATAGTGCAGGTCGTTCTCCAGTTACTCCAGTTTCAAGCATATAATAAGCTTTATTTCTTTCTCGGACCACTGATTCTAAGTTAAACATGCTATCTTCAACTTTATCAATTCTTTCAGGGTTTGGGAAATATTTATTTTCATTCTTATAGTATTCTTCCATTGTTAGCAGCATATTGCGTTCTTTTAATAATACATACCTAAGGATTTTAAATATAATGTTCATTATTATAATTTAAACTATCACATTTCATACCATTTATATCTTACCATAATTTATGAAGCTCTTCATTATTTTTTAATCTTAATTCATCTTTACGCCAAGAACGGCCTACAGGTATTTTATCCTTATCCCAATTTTTTGGTACATCAAAAAATTCCATCAAGTCATTATACTTTGGTGTAGAGTGAATAAGTGCACATTGAAAAGTAGGTACTCTACATAATTTAAATAATCTTCATATGATAATATACAATACACTTTGAAAAATATTCAAATATTTACATTTTAAATTAATAATTGTAAAATTATCATTATTAATTCATATATATTATAGGTAAAAATGTAACTTATAAATATAACCTCAAATATCAAATACTGAATATAGCAATTATAAAACACATATTCGTTTGAAAACGTATCTATAAATAATTAAGAAATATACTTCCAAATAATTTTCATCTATGTTTCAAACAATAAAGGAATAATTCATAATACATAACCTCTATATTTGTTGAATTAATTATAAATACTAATTGAATGAAAGTTAAATGTAAAATAGATTACAAAAACCTTTGATGCCGCATCGGATTGGAAAATGAATTAACATTTTGTGACAAAATTAAATTCGTAAATAATCTTGTCACATTGTTTACACTTTTCGAAATTTGTACAGCTTTCACGAAAGTTGCCATTTTGTTGAGACATCTATTCATCTTCCAAGTAACTTTCGTTATCTAGGTTTATAGTCACGTATTCATATACATGAACTATTTTATAAGAACAAATCAGTGGTGTACAATAATTTGTTATTATAAAATAATATTTTAAATGAAGAAAGAATAATTAAAAAGTAATGAAAAATTTAAGAAAATTTAATTAAAATTCAATTTTTACAATGTTAATAAAGGAATAGAATGTACAACTAAAGTATTTTTATTGTAATAGTTATATTTATTATCACAAACTATCAGTTAAATCATATACAATAATGTGAGAAAAATTAATTATGATTTTCATAAGCTAATTTCATAATGTAGAAATATTTTAAAAAATTATCTACTTTTCTTTAATTCAATGTATTCTTTTTCATAATTAATAATTAGAAGTTTGTATACATATTAATCATTGATAAGAGGAAAATACTTACAATATATTCTATTGCCAATAAATGTATCAAAAAGTTGATTAAAGGCACCTTTCAACACTAATTATACTTACAATCATATAAAAATTATATTGCTTTAATGTACTACTATATACATTGGTGACCTAATGTTATCAATACATATGAATTTTTCATTGTTGCCTTCTCAACATATTATTTCTAAATTAAGGTGCTCGTGTATTTAAAAATCTTTTCATAAAATATATTTATATAATTATTTATATAATTTGTATGTGTATATGTGTACGGATACGTGTGTACGTGTGAGTGTGTGTGTCGTGTGCGTGTGCGTATGCGTGTGCGTGTGCGTATGCGTGTGCGTGTGTGTTTGTTTGTGTTTGCTGAGATATGTATATGAGACATCACACAAGCATATACATATTTATACCATATATTTAAAATATAAAAGATGAAACTACAGCTCATAAATTTATCAATTTAATATGTTCATATTGTATATATATATTTCATATGTGTATTTCGGAATGTACCAACTAACAGAGAGAAAAAACAAATGCAGCGGAGAAATATGCTGTTATGCACTAATCCTTATATTTAACTGTTCTTGAAAGTTTATTTGAAGTTATTTTTATACGTATATATGCGAACTGTAGTTTCTATAAACAGTTTGCAACCTGATTGTTCAATTAATTTATTAGCAATGTATTGCTTTTTTTATGATCCAAGAAGTATATTCACGAGCGCACACGCACGTGCGTGTGTGTATGTGTGTGAGCGTGTGTATACATACACATATATATATTTATTTATTTATAATATATATATATATACATATCTATAAATATAAATTTATATCTATATATATTTATAAATATATATTTATATTATATAATTTATAAATACATACATACATATATATATACATATATGTATATATATATATATTAT